ACAATGTCCCACTCGCTGCCGTTGCTCTCTGGTTTCGGCTGAGAGGGAGTCGACAGTTGGTTGTCCAGGGGAGGCATGAAGAAGAGGGGCGGGCCCTCCACCACCAAACAATGTTGGGGTGAGTGTTCGAGGTAGGCGAGGAGGTATCTACAGTGGAGATTTTAGCGCACATTATATTCATAATATATCATAAATACTATAAAAAGTCATCCAAACCCTACTTTACTACTACGGTCTGTAAAGGGACTTTTTAGCAGGCAAATTAGCCACTGCCCGGTAGAAAAATGACATTAAAATTTTCGGATCCGATTAGTGTTCGACAAAAGTTACCAACGTCGGCTTCGTTTCACGTTTGACTTCAAGAACCCCGGGAGTCCATTCGGATTCGAGTCCGAATTGACGCAATTCGCTTTTTGTTAATTTTTCAATTATCGCGCACTTTTTCGCTGTACATATTAGCTTATTATACTATATATGATGTATTTCCTTTATTTTTTCCATGCCTCACGCGCATAAATCCTAATACCACCGGTCTCGTATTCCACAATTCTGGGTTTCTTGCTTTCGGTTCCGAGCCATCTAGTATGCAGGGTGTCCCAAAAAATATATATACACATTTTTAATCATTGTAAACATACTGTTTATGATAATTTTTTATTTCAAAAATTCAAAAATATTTACAAGTATCATTTTCAGAAGATGAAATGGCGAACATACGTTTGTTTTCGATAATTCTCGACAGGCCTTTACATTTAATGAAACAACTGTCTTGCTATTTGGTCGCATTCATTTTCAATGGCTTCTCTTAGTTCAATTATATAATATACAGTCAAAAATGCAGCGAACAAAAAACAATAAAATGATATTTCTAAATATATTTACTCTTTTTAAATGATAAAATTATAATAAACACCCAGTTTACAATAATTTAAAATGTGCATACATTTTTGGGACATCCTGTATTGTCATCCCCAAACCCATTAACTATTCTGTCAGCCGACAAAGCGCCTCCCTTTCCAAATGAACCAACAACCCACAGGTCCATATATTTACAAATGTTGGTAAGGGTTCCTTAGAAACCCCACCGTAGTTTGATATAGCATAACTAATTAGATTACGAACTCACGAATAGAAGCAAATATGGGTGTCCCAGGTTCTCCTTATAAAGGATAAGACGCGATCTCTGGAACGGTAATTTTATTATTCTGAGCTTTCGGCTCCACACA